TCCCCCTCCATACCCACCCCTCCGGTGACCATCCCATCCCACCCCCGTCAAGGGGGAGAGGGTACACCAGCCAGACACATGGGCAGAGGACACGCGGGCCGCGTGGGATGGACTTGAAAAGGACCTCAGTACTTAGACAATCTCCAAGACTGCGTCTCTACCAGAGGGACCCCCCCCCCTCGTTTTATCGCCACTTCACTTCTCCACGCGTCAACTGAACAAACTATACTCCCTGGCCCCTCCTCCCGAAGAGTTGTCGTGTTATGTACACTGAGAAGCACGTGGCTGTGGCTCCACCCGCTCCCGGACGGGGGAAGCCCCCCGCGCGCCCATGAGCATGATACACTTGTTTGCGACGTGACTTGGTGTGTTTCAAAACTCAAACATGCACTCAAACATGTCCTATCCACCGCCTCACAAAAAGGTCAATTTTCAAAAGTTGAGAAGAAAGAAAGCCTGAACTAAACTAAGACCTTCAAATTTCTAAATTTTGTTTTCTAAGGGCCAGGTACAGTGAGGCGCCATGGCCACTACTGCCCCAACAAGTCTGCAAGTTTAGAGATGATGAAAGAATTTGCATTGACTGAATGCACAGGCAAAACGACTTAATTTTGACATGTGACAAGATCAATAAGGCTAAAGAAAACTCATGGGATTAATAAATAGTCATATTAGATACTTTATGATCATTCACACAAAGCCACACAAACTAGAACTTAGGTCCATACGGGAACAAACAATATCAGGGCAAAGTATACTTTCACACAATGCCTTCACGTAGTACACAAGTAATTTGGAGATGAAAACATGTAGCATTTCCTCAGAACTATTCAAATGGAAGAGCTATGAAGTCAGGTGTTCTTAGTAAGAGGAGAAATTTAATGATAGTATAGACAATTGAGAGTTTAATATTGAGAACTGTAAATGAAACAGGTCTAAGGGCAACAATCAAGTGAGCCCTATTTATGAAACCACTATGCGATAACGGAAAACTTAGTATGAATTGGTCAACTTGAGGAAAATGAGAAACCGAAGGGTAACATAAGGGTGACGTCTAAGAGCAAACAATATTAGCAAGCTTTAGGAACAGATTTTTTTGGTAAGTATATATTTATATTGTATTTATATCTATTTGTTCAATGCTATCCATCCCTATAATGAAAAGTGAGTAAGTATAATAGCTATAGAAGTAGTAATGGTAGTAATAGCAACAATAACAGTAATAATAATCATCAAAATAGTAGAACTATTGACAAGCACAAATACAAATGCCTAATACTATCCAGGTTTTTATTTACAATTATTTCTTCTGCCTTAAAGCAATTCCAAAGTACGAACAAATATGCAATATGCACCATTTCGTAAGTAAGTACAATATTTAATGGGACTCTATAATTAACAGGTACATAACTTTTTTAAATGACTGAAACTACTGAAATGTCATGAAAATGAAAAAAAAAAAGGACTTAGTGCTCATGATATGTTGACCATATGGTATTTGCATCTCAAGATCTATTGACAAACTTCCAGCTATAAACAATTGCCCATACTAAGAAGAGTCTGAAGATATTTTTGTTTTGTTTTTTTCTAGGGGGAAAAAAAAACAGTGGCTAAAATGTATGGGGGAAAAGCACAAATCCTTTTTTCAAAAAATTAAGAAAAGTTGCCTGTTGATCACCAAAACACAAAATATGAACCAAAACAGGACCACTCATATTTTTGCAATAAGTCAACTATTTACAGGTACTTGTGTTCAATTCAAATTCAGATAGGAAAATTCAAGTGTGAGTCAAGAGAAAAGAAAAGGTCTTCAGCATTATAGCTGCTGGTGCCCATATGAAGTAATATAACAATCAGAAATTCCAGAAACTGTACAAAATTTATAATGATTTTGAGCGAATAATAGCAAATGGAGCATACAACCTACTAACCGAGTCAATGGCAAATACCAAATTACTATAAGGAAATATTTACTGTAGAGAAACTATTCAGATAAGGATACAAAGTACAAGATAGTAACTAAACGAAAAGAAAACAAGATCACAGATAAAATTAAACATTAAATCTTAGCTAAAAGTTGCTCTCCTCCAGAAGAAGAAATTGTTACTTACACGCAAACATGAATGCCAAATATGTACACTATACATGGGCTATTTTTATAATAATCGAATAAAGGATTCTAAATACATCAAATTTGATCTTATTGTTACACATTAGCATTTGTGCTTAAAAACTAAATAACACAGTCTGTCATGAATATCAGGAACAAGCATCAAAAGAACAACACAGAGCACAGACCATGAATAGGGAATAGGTTGATACAGTTTTTGTAATTTCTAAACAGTAAAGTACAAAAAGCACATTTATGTAGAATGATCCAATTTTGTTGTCTGTTCCTGATAACAAAGTAATAATAATAGATGTATCAAGTTTTAGCATTCTATGTCATACATTTTGTTCCTCAAAAATCGTTTGCTGAAAAACACTTCATCTAATCAGGGTTAATAAAAGAGAAAACAATGTAATGAAAATATACAAGCTGACCATACTAAAGATAACCTGACAAAATTATGTTTTTTAATTAGATTTGCAGTCACACAACTCATTAGAAAAAATACATTACATACTATGCACACTGACAGATGACGGATTGCAACTGAAACTTATAACAAAATGAGGAAATTCACCGGACGCATTACTTATACCAAAGAAGACTCTTTCTTTATTTTAGATGGGCCTGATGTAAGTAAATTTGTACTAGGTAAAATAACATTTGATTTGCTTATGCATTCATCTAGTGTAACAATGCTAAAGTGTATTGCCACCTTCCTCCCACATTTCTACTGTGCCTTTCTTTTCTACATACCTTTATGTAATATATTCATACTTGATCCTACATTTTACTAGAATTCGATGGGCACCGACCTACTTTATTGGTGAAACACATGAACTAGCAAGTATAGCAAGTATAACGTATAACAGTCTTTCACAACATAATAGTAAACATGGATTAGAAAAAAATGGATTTGGCAGTAGTTCCTGTTTGCATTTAAGTTTGAGCATTCAGATTCTCTGAACATGTTTTTTTTTCAAATGCAGTGTTTTTAGTTGCATAAAATGTTGTGCAATACTTGCACTCATTTTTCTAAGAAAAACACTTTGCTTTTATGTCTTAAGTTTGGAATAGATAAATGATGACCTTTCTTTTCAATCTCCCACAATTATATGGCATCAAAATGAGTTCCACGAGTTGCCTGTGACAAAGAAATTTAAGTCTAGAGACAAAAACATCTCTAGACCACAATGTACCAATTAACAATTAGCTAAATGTTAGCTAAGCCTTTTTCCATAGAGCTTACAACTGTTGAAATTTACTAAATTAAAAATGCATTGATTCTAAGAGTGGGAAAATAATAGTGAGGGAGAAGCCATTATTCTTCATTTTCTCTTGTTTTACTAACTGAGGAGCTGCCCACAGCCATTACAAATTATGACATTCATAAAAGAGCTTTTTAAATACTGCAAATAAGAACCTGCTTACAACAGGCAACAACTATTCTATAAAATGCAGAGGTAGGCATTGAGTGACTAAATTGCAAATATTTCTCAAAACACACAAGTTTTGCAAGGCAATGTTACTGCTCACAAATCATTCCACTTATTAATGACAAACAAGTCATATTATGGAAAAACCTACACATGCAGAAAACATCCAATGAAAGGGAATACAATTGCAAAACATGAATTACAGGGACAGTGGAAACGCATGGATGAAACTATGCCTGAACTTGCTCATTTAAAAACAAACATCAGTCAGAATTCACGCTATTTTCAAGTACACATGTGTATTCTCATAACTAAGTAGGCCTCTTTAAATAATCCATTGCACATAAAAAAGCAGAACTTTTTCTTTACACTTACCATATGAGCGACGTTTTTTTATCATATCCTGACATTTTCAATAGTTTTCTCTGTGGTCATAATGGATAATGGCGTAAATTTTTATATGTCACATCATCCAATATTAGGTAAAGCCTCATGATCACAAAAATGGTTTGTACAAACTAAGTTTCCGCTATGGCCTCTTTGCTTGCAGTGCAACACTACCTCATAAAGGGTTCTTTAAAGTGACAGCTGCAAATCATTTTTTAACCAGAATAATTTTCTTATTAAAACTTTTAAGTGACCTAGACAGATACTTTGATATTGACCAAATCTGATGGAAATGGACTGTAAAGCAGATACGTTTTGAAGTTTCTGACAATATTAACATCCAAAAACGCAAAATACTTTGAAACATTTCCAATTAGGAGGATCAACCTCACTATCTCTTCCAGATTTTTTCTGAGATTCTTGTACATATCTGATTAGGATAAATATTACCTAAGACATTCATTTCTATAGCATTACGCAACATAGCTGCCAGAGCAAAATCACAATCTTTACTTTTCTTAAAACTTAAAATATGTAATTCCCAGCAGCTGTGTTTTGTCAATATTTGAAGGGATATATAATGACTGTCAAGAGAAAATACAGTAACAAGCAATTGGTCAAACTGCAGCATATTCTGCCTTAAAAAAGCATCTTAAACCACAATTTAAAAAAAATACATTAACATTAGTCGACAACTACATTTATAAAAATGCACAATAAACAGACAAGAATGAACCTGATATATGTAGGTAGGACAAGATAGTAATAGACTGGCCCACCATCTCTACTTAGATAGATTAAGATTATCTATAAGTAGCAACCTGCATATAATCAGCCAACTAATAAAATAGCTTGTCAGTGAAGATTAGTCTGCGTGGGTAATTGAACACCGACTATGCCTGGAGCCTGATAAATTGAACCAGAACTACCATTAGCTACACAAAGGTTTTTCTCCATCCCCCCACCATTTATTGTGTAACCATTGTGATAATAAACTAGGTTGGAACTACTACTAGGCAAATCAGCAGGAAGTTGTGTTAATGTTTGTACAAGTGTCTGATCATCTAAGAGGTTATCTAAAAGACCCTGATTCTTCACATCAAAGAGCCCCTGAGCTTGTAATTTGTCTATATCTAATAACCCCTGTGACGGCGAGAGCTTATCAACCTCAAGGAACACCTGTGCCTGTGCTTGGGCTTCAGACGTCTGCAGTAAGTCCTGAGCTTTGTAGTCTAAAAGTATCTGGCTGCCCATATTTTGCAGGGATTTGACATCCTTGTCAACTGCAGCCAGAGCCCTTTCCAATTCCTCTGTTTCTTCTCTTGTAGGCTCCATGTCCTTATCCTCTTCTGCAAACAGAACACAATTTAGTGTCAATATATTATACAGAATGTAAAGAATCATACATTGGTAAAGATTTGGGATTACCTCCGAACAAATCTGTAAATGCTATTGTGGGAATTTCATTTAATACATTGGTGAGGTCATGTCCTTCAAGTAAGCTACCATCCTGCTGCCCAAGGTCACCTGCATCTGTCAATTCAGGTAGCTCAGCAACAAGCTCAAGGGCTTCCTCCTCTACATCAACATCAGGAACATCAGCGACATCTGATACAGTAAAACATGAAAGTTACACAACAGATTTTGATCAAGGGATTTAAAAGGGAAGTTTGCTATGCCACTTACCAACAATAGTTTCCCCAACTCCATTGAGGTCATTAACATTCAGTTGGGTCTCATTCAATCTTCCATATGTCTCATCAGTGACAAATATTTCTGTACTTTCTGCAGGTGATGTTGGTGTAACTATTCCTAGATTTCCATCTAAGCCAATAAATATGCATTGAATACACAATGTAAATTATGGAAAGGACAAAAATATGAGATGCCCTGTAATTGTAATTTACCTATGAAGTCCTCTGAATCTCTGCGAGACAAGGAATCAACAGGGAGGGATTGTGAACGCTGGATCCTGGCCTGAGCTTGGACTGTTGGAACATTACTAGTCAATGAGACAGGCGATGTTGGTGGTGGCAGTGGTGAGGGCTGGCTGCTGAGAGAGGGCTTTTGCTTTTTCTTTTTATTACGTTTCGTGGACCTTGTCATTGCTGATGGCTTTGATTTCTTGCGAACTCGCTTGGGTTTCACCACTTGAGACTGACGGTTGTAATCATCCTAAGATGTAACAAAAAAATATGCAAAATCAATGGAAATGGGAACTATAGATAGAGTGCAGAAAAACACCTAGAAAAATGCGATTGTATGAATTGTGATACCAAGTAAAATGCTACACAACTAATTAACATCTTTGAGATTTAACTCAGGATCATATTTTGTATAATCTAATTTTCAATTAGACTTCTGGATAACACTCCTCAACAATAGAAAAATAGAAAGATAAGAAGGGCCTTACCAATTTACGTGCATGCTCTGAACAGAGAGGTAGCTCATGGCTTGAATCAAACACCGGCACACAACACTGAGTGTTGTCAGAAAATTTAGCGGTGCAATGTTCAAATAACAATTGCTCCACATTGTAGGTGATGTGCCTTACACAATGATGTGCACAAGGGAGAGCAGGTGAAGTACATACCTCCCCTTCCCCTTGTTTTCCAAACACGCATTGCTTTGGCACCAACATTGACAACTTCGACCTAAAAATATATTTTCTTTACATTACTGGTATAGGGAAAACAACCATATGTTCATGTTAAACAAAGCTACTTCCTACCTTCCAGTTCTGTGCCAACGCTGATTTGGGGAAAGGAGAACTGCTGTTTGACTTGGTTTACTCAAAGCTGAATCAACAACACACTTTGGTAGTGAAGACACACCAGGATCACGTCTAGCTCCCCAGACTTGATTAAGTTTCCGCCGGAATTCAGCACGTATTTGTAATAATCTGTTTTCCCTCCTTTCTTCCGAGGCCAAACCAGATCCTGCTTCCATCCAACCACTAAACCAGTGTTTCTGATACACAAGACCCTCTTCCAAATCACTGTCATCACTGTCAGTTTCAATCACTAAAGAGGAAGAAGAAGCCCATTCATTAACTTTTATAGTTAAACAACTGCACTGAGTGAAAAGAAATCCCCTTTCTCACCATTTGTTCGCGAAAAGACATCATACTTTGGCTCTTTTCGGCTATGTAGCCTCTGCAATGATTCGTGTTTTAATGCGTCACCTGCAAGATCTAATTTGGTTCTGGGTCTCTTATGAGACCTATGGACTTCACTCTTGACAAAAACAGGTGTCATTGAGCCGTTCAAACCCTGACGAACTGAACTACTCTTGGCAGGTACCTGAGATAATGCATTTGAATTTGGTGTGGATTTCGATGACTTCTGACCTCCATAAGTTGCATGAGGTTTTTCTTTCCTAAAATTGAATAGATACTTGCTCTGATTTCATTCACTCACGATGAGTAATTATATACCAAGCAACACAAGAAAACAAACCTAGATGAGTTTCCACTGGAACGTTGAATGTTAGACGAACTCTTTGCAACACTATATGTGAGCGGTCCATTAACACCTGGAACACGAGTAGTAGCAGCTGGTGGAGGAGTCAGCCCTGCAGATAAGCTTAAACTTAGTCCTGGATCTTCCTTCTTTATTTGATTTATGGGTTTGTTACTGAGCAGTTGTTCTTCAAGAAGGCTTCTTTCCTTTTTAATGGGCATATCCTGTAAATAAGAAAGGGATTGATAATACTTCATGGAGGAACTTTAAAAATAGTAGGAAAAATAAGCAAATCTGTAGAACTTATACATACATTAACACTATGTCTCCTTTGAGGGATTTCATTGCCAGGTTTTGATGCCAATTTCCTTTGATGCTTGCCCATAACCATTTTGCGAGCAATTTTGTCTTGAAGCCGACTTAAAGTGGTCTTGGATGCTTCTTCTGGCTTTTTATTTTCCACAGTAGGTGCAACAGAGGATTTAATAGTTACCTCTTTAGGTGCTCTCCTATCACAAGGTAAGACACGTGGAATTATCTTTTCACGAGTTTGATTCCTAGGGTTTGAGATCTTCCTAATTTTACTCTTATCATTGCGTATACTGTTGAGATAAGTAGGACTAAAGAGAGCAGCAAGCTTATTGCTCTCTCTCTGGGGTGTGGTTGGCATGCCATGTTTAACTGGTGAAATCTTAGTACTGGGCGCAACTGATGGAGATGGCTGCTCAGGTGGGGGTGGACTTGTTAAATTAGGAAAGCAGTTCAAATCCTTAGCAGAAAAAGAAGAGAAGGATCGTTCAAAATCATTTCTTTTAGTGGGTACATCATCAGATGTAGATGATTCTAAGAGAGACGCAAGAGTTGTTTTGGATGAACTACTTGAATTTGTGGAGGATGGTAATTGGGAAGAGTTGGGCTCAAAAAAAGCAGGATAAAGACGTGTCATATTCAAACCAGTGGGCTCAGAACTGTTGCTGGTTCCTGCAAGTTAGGAATTAAACAGTAGACATTAGCCAACCATAGTTCTAACATTAACATACATAGTAAGATTGTAAGAAACATTATACCTTTATCAATTCTACTTTTCATAACACTTCTTGGAGTAGTCTTGGAAACAGTTTTGGTTGTTGTGGCAGGTGTTGCATTTTTTCTAACAGGTTCTGGCTCATTAAATGTGTAGGGATCTTCTAGGTCACTTAAATCTGAATTTTCTTCACGATTCTGGTGAGCCTCATCACCATTACTAAGAAGTAATCCCCTGAGACCTTTCAACCTATCGGCAAATTTTAACTGGCCATTGCAGGAGTTGGATCTTGGTAAATTTGACACACGTGATGATGAGGCGGATGTCTGCACTTGGCTAGATGTGTAAGATCCAGGAAGTTTCCCTTTTCTTTTCCGGTCATGGTTTCCTGATAGTCCAGTCACATGGCCGTTGACCCTGTTGCAAATTCTAATGAGCACAATTTCGCACAAATTATTTAATTTGATATATGAGTGAATTACCAACCTGGCGTTTCCACTAACACCTGGATTAAACATGACCGTTATTTCATTCTTGGACCATTTTATAGAATGAGAAGAAACTCCTAAGATGCTCACACACAGAACTCAGAACTTTTTCATCTGGCTGCAATGTGTAGCAATCAAGCCCAATAAAATCCATGTCCCTACAACAAAGAAAGCTGTTTATAATAAAGACATCAAAGGAATATACAATATGACAGTAAGATTGATTTTTATACCTTGATATTATTTCATTGGAGTAGCTTCAAGTTCTCTGAAGCATTAGGGAAACTAAAACAAAAAATAATTCACAGTAATTTAAATTAGAGGAAGACATTTTGGTTAGATACATCAGCAACAAGTGATTTTTAACTGTATCAAGTAAATATAAATTTTACTCGGTCGAATATCCCAAATTTTAGAGTAAAATTATGGTTTCCGAGCCAAATAAACCAAGTGAGAGATGTCGCAAAAACTTAAAAGACACCAGATTTTCATTAAGATTCAAATATTTGTGATAAAATTTGCAGAATTAAAAACTTGAAGAGGCATACTGTTTAACAGTACAACAAAGATAACTACTTAAGCTTGGAAGAGCATACAAGATGATATAAGGTTAGGTGTCAGAAGCAGAGTTGTCAATTTGTAATAGAAATGCACTAACTACATTGAAAAGAGGATACATAATCACTACTTCAAATTAAAGTAGCTGACCAGAAAAACTAAGCTTCAAGAACGTGAAAACAAATGTAGCAACAAAAAAAGCAGTATTCATAGAAAAGTGTATTTGTATAACTTCGCAAGAGCGACACAAAGAAAAACAATGACCCGGCTGACACTAGGGTAAAGACAACAGGTCAAAGTCTTGAGTAGAAGAATTAAAACAAGACCAAGAATGAGTCAATTATGACAGAAGAATGAGATATACTTTTAGGCTTTAGGACATAAATGTAAGGTTAGGTCATCAGTAAAATCATCGTCATAACAAACGTCCGGCACTTAAGGAAATGTACTGAATATGATTATAGAGTTGTAAATTCGAATGGATCGCAAAATAATAATAAAATGCGGGGAAAAAAAGTTTCATGCAAGAGATCAACTAATGAAAAACAAGTTTTTTGAACAAGTTTCAGGCTTCAAGCATAGACGAAGGTCGGTCAATAATCATCTTTTCACACGATAACGTACCTAACATCAAGTTGTAAATGGAGTGTACACCTGCCTTCAATATTTGTAAACAAAACAATAAGTCTCGGGGCTGAGAAATTTGTATGATATCCTGAAATAATGCAGGATTATTGGAAAATTCTTTTTGTCGAAAATAATGTTGCGCCTACACAGTGCAGCCACCCGTAGAAAATAAAGAAGCTACTACGCTATCATCTTCCGAGGGAGACATAAGGACGCTCAAATGTAATCTGTACTCTCCCTGATTATTTCAATGACTTTATCAATGAACTTTATTGCCTACATTACAATTCTACGAGCAACACTTAAACTTTATCAGCAGTCCAAAATAAATTTTGGTGTAACGAGGTTTAATAACCTGCTGGTGTGAATTTAGAAGGGAAATGTAAATAAACATAGAAAGAAAAAAAGTTGAAAAGTCAATTAAAAATCGGTGATGCAATGAAGTTCTTTAATACATGAATTTTTGATGACTAGGAAAAAAAGAGGAGAACGACTATTGACGACACTAATAGTTTATGTTATTTGTACTGTTTTACTTTCTTATGATTATGATGACGCATGTAAAGAAGTGTAAAATCTGTTCAGGTATAATAAAAATTTCAAAACATAATTAACCAGAGGGATTTTATTTACATACTCATGATTGTAAATAAATTAGCTTATTAGATGAAACCGTACATTTACATCAATAGAGCTACATAAACCTTCAAATAATTACTTAAAAACAAAAAAAAAAATTACTTAAACAAGAACAAGAATCTCTTGTGAAATAACTTAAACTTTGATGATAAAAATAGAAAATGCATTTGAGTTCCCTGTTCATCAATTTGGGGTAATATCACAATAATTCACTACTTTCTAAAAAAAATTGAATAGCACACGCACAGACTTTGTCTTCTGCAACAAATAAAATGATAAATGACATGTGAGAGTGAAATGATAAACAACTAATACTCATCCATCAAAATGGATAAAAATTAACTGATGATAAACAATTGGAAATTTGAACACAACCAACAGAACCTTCCAAAGATTTTCCTTATAATCAAGCAATTAATGAAATCAAGGTTTCTCCACAAAATATTTGATGACACATTTATCATCTGAGCAGAGACTAGAGACAAAAGAAAAACAGTTGAATCCAAACAATTCTAGCAGACATTACTTCATATAGATAAGATAAAGAACAGTCTACGATCATTCTGTTCTACTGAGCAGCTACAGCACAGTATTTTCACACACTCAAATTTGTATACAGGCTTGCCAATTAGGAAACCGACAAATAAACACTGTGAGACAAAGTTGAACAGCAAGAACAGAAATTGGTCCAAAAACATCATCAGTCCATTGACCTAAACAACTAATGCAAAGCCATTTTAAACCTGACAAGGAAATAAAACTAGTCAGAAAAACTATCAAAGAAATGTGTGTTCAAATTAATTCAAACAATATGAAGTAAGAAAAAAAGTCAAGAGAGAAAATCAATCAACAACTGAAATGTTTCACCAAAGTTGCACACTCCAGAAAAGCCGCATCCAGACAATGAGGTTTTGGAATTATTATACATATATGAAAGCAGAGGGAAAATGAAATGGTAACACTTCACATATCACGCAATTAATAAGAGAACCAAATTGGAAAAGAACATGAAACTCTAAGGAAATAATCAACATAAAAGAAAACAATAGACTAATAGAATTAGAACAGACTTTTTCAGTTAGACAGGTCTTTCATAGAGAGATGTGCGAATACATCTATGAAGACCTATTGACAACCACATAAAAGATATAAAACTTGGATCATTCAACTTCCTGAATGTAGCTGAAAGCATAGATTTGCTTGGCAATTACAAATTCATTATGATTAATGATACCGAAATGACATGAAAGGTGAACTTCATTAGATAAACATCACAGAATGAACAAGTATGACTTTGAAAAATAATTTTGTTAAGCAGTCATGAAAACATTCTGCAATTTATCTCAAGATAACATGAAGATGAATGCTTATGTTATTCTGTGAAAATATTTACAGCACATTTAACTAAATGTCTATTCTTGGGCGGTACTGAAGCTTCAAAGGTGGGTCTCGAAACCTCCATCTCGTTACATACACAAATTTAAGTGTATGATCTTTTCCAAGTAATTCGTCGTTGCATAAAATATCAATCTGAAAAATAAAATTAAAAGGACAAGATAAAATGGTTTTGATAATTTTGGAAGACTTCAATAGAGTTTTTTTTTACAAAAATGTTATACTTACATCTCTATACTTTTCAATGCCATCCAGAACTTTCTTTGCAATAAACTTTTTCAAGTGAGTTATGGTTGCATGTGATGAAACTCGAACAAATCTTCGTTTTAAAGTCTTCAAATTACTTGCAGCACATTCAAGCCCAATGTTAACCTGAAATTGAAAACATTCACAATAAAAGTTATAATAATAATAATGACAATAATGGAAATTCAAACCACAAACGCTGTAATATACGGGGGTTGTAAAAAATTGAGTTTTGAAATTGAAAACAGCAAATATTAAATTTCTTATCTGACAAGGCCATATTTCCATAACATTTTCAATGTCAAAAATCTTTTTTAATGACCCATTCTACATAGAACAGGATTGACCATACCTGTTCATCCATGCGATGATAGTCACACTCAGGAACACCATTAGCAGATGGTTTTTCTGTCTCAGCTTCAGAGCCCAAGTTCGGTATATCTTTGGGATAGGGCAAATCTCTGAGGCGATAAAACTCTTTTTCCCGTTTGATTTCATCTGAAATAACACGTTGGAACCCACATCAAACAAAAAATTTTGCACACAGGACAGCGAACTTTAAAAGCAATTTTTGGGTACCGAGAAGCTTCCATCACCAACACGAAAACCCAATACTCATTAGATTTTAAGTAAAGCAAAGGCACATAGAGTGCGTCCGAATTCTCCAATGTGTCAACACTTCTTGACACAAGTTGTGTTGAGGAGTGAAGCGGAGTAGTGTTGAGTGAGCTGTGATTGGTCGGATTGGCCGCTCAAGCTACTCCGCCCCACTCCTTGACACAACTTGTGTCGAGAAGTGTCGACACATTGAAGAATTCGGACACACTCATAGGGGTTTTTACACCACTAACACCATCAGTATGTTATTTGCAACTAGTGCTGTAGTATGTAATCCATTAGATAGAATTCGATTAGGTTATAGGGGTTAGTAATTCCCTTTGAATTTTTTCACAAGATACTTACTTTCTTGAAATCCAGGGACAAGCTTGTATACAATATCCTGCATGGTTCGATCGAAACTGATGTATTGAAGAGGGTGTGATTGATGAATGACAATGGTACATGTTGGGCAAGTATTGTTTTCTTCTAAATGTTTGACAAGGCAGCTTTTGCAAACTTGATGAACATAGAACAAGGAAAAAATAGCAGTCAGAGTGGTATTAAGATTGATTCACATTTCATTGGCTCTAAATGAAGGACCATCCACAACTCACATGTATGTAGGCATTCTGTAACTGTTGTGGCATCTACTAAGTAACCCCGGCAAATTTTGCAAGTGATATGGCTATTTAAAGTCTTAAGTTTTATTCTTCTTTCCATTGAAGTCATCTCTAAAACAAAAAGCACGATTCATAAAACAATTATATTAAAATGATCGAGAGACAAAACGATAATAAAGGGAAAATTCTAGCATAAAAGAAGCAATGACAGAAGCAGCAAATAACTTTATTTTACCTTTGACTGACATGATAGAAAGTGGTACAAGTTGAGGTTAGACACATCTCTGACAAGTAACACAAGACCTGCGTTGGCTCATTTAATATTAAAAGTATTGCAGGTAAGTTCAAATTAGATTTTAACATTTTCCTAAACTGAGTTATACATAATACAGAAGTATCTCATGTGAAGATAAAACTTTTGCATGTTACGAAGAACAAAGGGCCGCTACGAGATCCGTTGCACTTATTGCGGTTAAATAATAATTCACAGAACGAAAAATTAGAGTGTCTAACATCTCAAGAGTATTAATTAAATAATTAAAAAGCGGCTACACTCTCGCACGGCTAAGAATGAGAATTTATAGGCAAAATAAGTTTTTAAACTTGTGATTTCCACTTCAATCGATATCGCTCGGCAGTCCAGCTTTGGTATGTTTGCAAGCAGTTCCTTCTTGAGCATATGAAAAACTCTAGTTACCTTCTGAATGATGAGGCTTGTCAATCTGGCCTGGTTCTCCGGAATTACAAGAATATATTGACGAAATCCATACATATAAACAAAAAAGTTTTGACAGACCACAACATGCAGTCGTCCAGTCAGCCGCTGCTGCTGACGATGTTGTATAAAAAACTTTCACCGAGAGAGGGCGCTAAAGCTGGCAACTAGTAAAACACAAAGGAGAAATGGATTTCCATGAATTGTTGTTAAAAAAGTGAAATGAAACTTGTTATGATGTGCGTTGTAATGGACACTTTGTCCTTTGTCCATGAGTTGTCTATGTACAGCACTGAAAATGTATGACTTAAAATTTAAATGTTCTAGAAAAGTTCTCCCCTCTTGTCCGGCTTGTATTTGCAGGAAACACTATTTGCACATTGTTTTCGTGTGCTGTAAATAGTATCATGTAATAACAACAACGACAACAACAACTCTTTCGCTCATGTCACCACAGCAAGAAAAACCAAGTTTGAATCGAATTATTTCTGTCAAGAAACCATCGTCACTTATCATTCATACTTCGTTTAGTTTTGCCGTAAAGTAAATGCTCCTTTGTGACGTAAATACAGCTTGTATCGATTGCCTTCAGAAGTCTGTCATTGTTTAAGTGTCATCTCATTGATTTGCATCCAAATGACTTAAAAAAATAATAGGTACTATTTCAGTCTAGCTTATTGCATTTAGACTCTTTAGTTTGTATTCTTCTGTCATAAAACCACTTGGTTAAATGTTTCAGTTATGGCGGTTGGACTAATTGCACTGAACATTAATTTTTTTTTTAAACATTTCTAGATCCTTCACATATATTTTCTACCCACTAAAATGAAAATGGCCAATGAGGTCAATTCTCCTGCAGCCAATGTAACCCGTGCCAATGAAGAGGATTCTACCACTAACAGATTGGTCCCTGCGGCAAATGCTCACTTTGGCAGTCAGCAGGGAAATAGTCAGAGAACATCTGGCATTCATAGAAATGATTGGGAGATGCTAAGTTTAGATGTCTCAATGAGGCAGGTGAATGTTTCTGGAGAGGGGCCAAGTCAGTCTTCTCTATATTGTCAGTCAGGTATGTTTTTGTCGTTTTTCTTGCTGTTTGTTAGTTAAAACACATGTATCAACATGGAAACAAAATTACTTTATTTGCGTCCACTGTTTACAAGATGCTGCAAATGATTTTGGAGTAAAATTTCCTCCTAACTATAACTGGCAAGCCACTAAAACTTCAGTGAAAGAGAGATTCTCTTTCATGTTTAACAATGAAATTTTGGCTGATGTCCATTTTATTGTTGGACGTGGGGAAGCACAAGAAAGGATTCCTGCACACAAGTTTGTTTTGTCAGTTGGGAGTGCAGTCTTTGATGCCATGTTCAATGGAACACTTGCAACTAAAGGAGATGAAATAGACTTGCCAGACATTGAACCAGCCGCCTTTTTGTCACTGCTGAGGTAGGTTGTGCAGCTCCGCTCTTGTGTTACTTTAATCAATTTCCTCAAATATTGTATTTATCTATCTATCAACATTTCTCTTCAGATTTCTTTACTCTGATGAAGTACAAATAGGTCCTGAAACAGTAATGACAACATTGTATACTGCCAAAAAATATGTTGTCCCTGCTTTGGAGAAGGCATGTGTTGATTTTCTTGAAAGAAATTTATGCAGTGAAAATGCATTTCTTCTTCTCACACAGGTGTGACTAAAGTTTGATTATAAAAGCAGAGAGTCAATTCTTGGTCATTAACTCTTTCTTTAATTTTACTCTTAAATTATCATTGTTCCCGTTTCTTTTCATCTAGGCAAGATTGTTTGATGAACCTCAGCTTGCAAATCTTTGTCTTGACAACATTGATAAAAATACTAATGAGGCATTCTCAGCAGATGGATTTCCTGATGTAGATCTCTCAACTCTCACTGCTGTGCTTGAAAGAGACACTTTAAGGATAAAGGAGTCAAAGTTATTTCAAGCTATCCAGAGGTATGTTTATTGGCCCTCTGTCATGAAAGCAATCCTTTCCTGTAATAAGGTAAAAAAGTTATCTAAGTAGGATTTCCCTGATGGTCTTTTGTAACTTTGAAGGTGGGCTGAGGCAGAATGCCTCCGACGTCACATACCAGTAACAGGGGAAAATCAGAGAGCAGCCCTAGGTTCTGCACTCTCTCTTGTGAGGTTTCCACTCATGACTGTCGAAGAATTTGCATCTGGTCCTGCTCAATCGGGAATTCTGACAGATCGTGAAACCGTTCAACTTTTTCTCTACTTTACTGTGAACCCTAAGCCATCTGTTGGGTTTTTGGATGTTCCACGCTCCTGCATGTCCGGGAAAGAGTTAACTGTTACACGCTTTGCTCAGGTTGAAAGTCGTTGGGGATATAGTGGTGCAAGCGATAGAATTAGGTATGTGTTGGATCCATCTCTCTACTATCTATCTATCTACCTCTGATTTTTTAATCCATCTATCAAACATGTTCTCCATTGTAGATTTATGACGGATAGAAGGATCTTTATTGCTGGCTTTGGACTCTATGGATCAATTCATGGACCTGCAGAATATGATGTTTCTCTTCAACTGATCCAGAATACTTCAAATTGTGTTCTTGGTTCAAATCACACCACCTTCTCATGTGACGGAACAAATTATACATTCAGAGTAATGTTCAAAAATGCCATTGAAATTCAACCAAATGTCAGTTACACTGCTTCTGCAACAATTAAGGTAATACCACTTAAATATAAATGTGTTACATCATACCTACCTAGTTACTTTCTTGTGTACTTTAAAATCAATATCTGTAAATGTTTCATTTCATCAGGGCCCTGATTCTCACTATGGTACCAAAGGACAGCGCAAGGTTACAGTGGACTGCCATGGAGATGGCAAAGTTACCTTTCAATTTCAGTATGCTGCTGGAAATAATAATGGGACTTCTGTTGAAGATGGACAGATACCTGAAATCATATTTTACACATGATCAATCTAAATATTATCATCTTCCCAGATACAACCATAATATTTTTAGTTTAAAAAATAATGCCTGTACATAAGTAGTTATTGGAGTTGATCTCATTTAATCTTACACCTTTCCTTATCAATAAGGGTTTCAAAATTGAAATGTCTACAGTCAAAATCAGTAGGTAAAGTTATGCTTTAAACACGGTCAGAAGATGTTATTTTAGTTTGAACTAGGCACCTTTTCTAGAACGTGCACTGCTAAAGGCAGTTGCGCCTTTGGGAAAACTCACTAAATGTACTTTTTAGATGAATTGTAAGAATACTTGATTAAGAAAGGTCTAAGGAATGGTCTCTCGCTGTTAGATAAATCATGTGATATATGAACTTTTACTCTATCCCTTTAAGGTAGTGTTTGTTTGACTGATTAGAAGTAATTAGGAAAAAGGTGTATTATATTATTTCTGTCATGAGAGTTTAGTGATAACCTACAATAAATCGCATAAAATGACTTTTTCAAGTCTTTTTTGTCCTCTACCCACTTCACAAAAAGTTACTGAGATTCTGAGCAATAGTAAAAAAAATCCCCCCCCTCCCTAAAAAAAAACAGCTTTCCTTGGCTTAGTGCTAGTTACTCAACTGTACTTTTTTTTCGACTCTATGTGGTTAATCTCGCCATCTCGCGATTCCCCTTCCTTTGCTGTTTCAACTTCCCCGCGGTTTTACTGCTCCCACCTTGCCCCTCCACTCACTTGACAAGACACGATTACCAACCAACGGTATTGTGGTACACCATTCCTGTTTTCTTTGCAATCAAGGAATAAAACAGATAAACTCTGTTTTCTATTGCAGTATTTTTCAAGAGTTTTTCGTTTTAAAATCTAATAACAGTTTCAATTTCTAAAATTGGACTGTATCACGGATAAATTCAAGATTTGGATTGTTGGTAACGTGCTCGAGGAAATCATCTTTTGCTGTTGATTTGTTTTTCCTTTCTAGTTTCTCATTCGCTCCCTTCCGGTCGAAAACCAGCAACATGGTAGGTTCTCTCTCTCCAGTCATATTTCATCCGTCTGTTTTTCATCAATCGTTCACATTTATTTGAAGTCCAAATGGTTTGCTTTATCCTTACATTCTCCCATACCCGATATACTTACGATATGTGTGCTATACTTGTTCCTGATCTTGTGTGGCACCGCGCCTGCGGGTACACATCATACCCTCATTTGAGTTCGACTTTTTGTGGAATCTATTTGACGAAACCAACTTTAAAGCTAATAACTCAGTTATATCCTATCTAATTTCACCCTGTCAAAACTTCTTACATGCGAAAGTGAACAATTACGAAAGTCATGTCACGCCTACTAGGTTATGTATACGGTAGTTTTGTTGTTGATACACGGTGCTAGCGTAGCGTACTTCAGGCATTTCCCAGTCAAGTATTTTATGTTCCGAGCCTCATCGTCTCCTTGTGGACTTCCAGCCTTTAACGATTCCTTGCCTTTGTTTTTTTCATTTTCGGCGTTTTTGTTGCTGCACCCGGCAGGTGCATTAACCTATCAGTAATGAGCTGAAATGATGTGTTATTTTGTTCTGTAGGGTCGCGTCAGGACCAAGACCATCAAAAAGGCCTCTAGGGTCATCATTGAAAAGTATTACACACGGTTGACCCTTGACTTTGACACCAACAAGAGGATATGCGAGGAGATTGCTATCATTCCCAGCAAGCCCCTACGCAACAAGATCGCTGGGTAAGTTGCTGTACTATTTGTGTCATGAATTCATTGCGTGTTTTGCTGTACTAACTTGATTGTCTTTGTTTCCAGCTTTGTCACACATCTTATGAAGAGGTTGAGACATAGCCAGGTCCGTGGTATTTCTATCAAGCTTCAGGAAGAGGAGAGAGAGAGACGCGACAACTATGTTCCCGAAGTCTCTGCTCTTGAGCACGACATCATTGAGGTTGATCCTGAAACCAAGGAAATGTTGAAAGTTCTGGTAAGTTCATTCTAGGAAGTACTTGTTATTTTTAGTACTTGATTATGTATAATTGTACCGACTCACTTTGTTCTAATCTTGGCTCAGTCCAATGCATTTAAGTTTATGGCCATGTATAGTTTTAACTTTGTTCTGATGTGTCATACTGATCCCATGAATTCCTAGTTGTGTTTGGGCAGAGCACAGTTCATCCTATACTCTTTTCACTTGGTTTCAGAACTGGCTCTTTATCAATTTCTGCTCTATTAATTGATGGGTATTAGGGATTCATGTGAAGTGCTTTGATATGGTTTATTTAACTGTCAACCTTAGTTTTTTCTCATTTTAAATTTTATTAATGAATTCTGGTCAAAGTTCTTACATTTTAATTATCTACTCATGTGTGTGGATTAGGCTCATGTTTATTTTCCTCGACTAAGTGGTATCTTCTCTTGTCATCAGGAATTCAACAACATCACTGGTCTTCAACTCACTCAGCCTGCTTCTCAGCCCTATGGACGTCGTAACTAAGTTGTTTTTCATATCTATGATTAAAAAGGTTCTATGAGCCCGAAATTGTTTTTCCTTCACCCATCCCGTACATCCAAATATTACCCAACACAATCACATTTGAGTGTTTTACATCTTCATAAGACACCGGCATATTTTCTTGCATGGTTTTAATGATTCTAAGGATATGAATCTGTTAAAATTGCTCAATTACTTTGAACTTTACTTGTCAGACAAAGATGCACCGGTCATCTGTACATGGTTCTGGCCTGATGCATCCGCGACGATGGTCGACACGCTGTAAGATTGTGTCCCCTTTTACATCAGAACGGCTCCGGGAATTTTGAGAATCTGGTCTCAGATAATCAGACTGATCACAATATAGCACGGGTACGTGTCGTTAGACGTACGGGTGGCAGAAATTGCGAATATACCCAGAGACGTGGAGCGTAGGAATACGAGGCTCACGGTGTGATCGGAAGGGAGCAAGTGAGAAGGGGACTACATTTCATATGGATCATTTCTGCTGGTATCTACTCAAGTTTGTGAAGCTTAATTCTAGCTTTTAATATGCTTCAGGGATTTTCCAGTACCTAGCCAATTCTTAGAACTTGACGATCTCTCTCTTCACTGAAAACTATCAGTCGGAATAATGGAATGTCCTCACTTAAAAGAAAATGTTCGACTTGAAAATGCCCCCGTCGTCGCCGAAACAGACGTCGCCAAAGAGTGGCATTGCTCTGGTAAGATTTAGTAAAATGAACGAAAAACTTTTCCAATGCATATGCGGTTTGCTGTTTATGCGAAAAACTATTGAAACCTCGTTGAATGCTGCAATGAGTCCGTTTTGTCAATCAAACGCAGTCTTTCAAAGTGCGTGTCTTAAGCTTGAAATCGCTTGGATGAGAGCCTGTAAATCATTGTCTAGGCATTTCTGTTGCGTTATTACATATTACATTCAATATGATTCGACCTCTCTGCAACTTCGGAAGTTTAAAGTAAACTCAATGCTTCTGATTAATCCCGAGTAGTATTATTTGACATAAGGATAGCAAGATAGCTTTCGTACCAAGCTTCCTCCGACTCCATTGCTGGACTCCGGCCTCTTGACATTAATTTATACAAATTTTAAATAAAGTGTAAAGTTTTACAGTCTTTCGAACCTAACTCTTACTTCAAAATAACACCTGAAATGAGTTTTGCCGATGTGTTATTTACGAAAACAGAATTTATCTTTCATTACAGTTGAAGCTACCTGGTGAATCCTTGTCAGTGCTTCTCGTTATCATCATCGCATTCGAGTTTATTTACAGGAGTTTTGTAAACAAACTTTTAGAAGATGTCCCTATCACATCAATTAAATTTTAGTTATGTTTACGTTAGCCGTAAACAGACAATTCTCAATGCCGGACGTCATTGTAATTAAGTTTTTTTTGTGTGTGTTTTTCCATCTTGGACCAGGGGATCCCAAATGTCATTAGTTAACCTTCTAGGCAGTCATAATTCTTTCAAAGCAGTTGTCAAAGTGGCATTGGTTAGCTTTCAATTTGTGAATTAGTATATCAGGCATTACTATTGAGAAAACAAGATATATCATATTTTCTTTCTACTTCTTTCCAGAATGCCAGAGTGCTCAGAACACTTGGCTATGTCTTCACTGTGGAGTAGTTGGTTGCGGCAGATATGTGAATGGTCATGCCAAGCAACATGCTCATGAGAATATTAATCACAATGTATGTATGGATAGTGAGAGCTATGCAGTTTACTGGTGAGTTTTCTTCCCCCTCCCCCTCTTTTTTTATCTTATCCAGCAGTTTTTTTTTACACATACGATGGGGCCAGCAGACGGTACAAGCTATTAATTTATATTTTTCTTCTTGTAGCTATATGTGTGATGAATTTGTCCTGAATGATACTCCTGAAAACCATATCGATCAAATGCGAAATGTTCTCATTAGACATCCAACCAAAGGTGAAGATGACCCTGTTCTAAGAGATAGAAGTGTTAATGATGAGAATGGTGAAGTGTCAAGCATTTCAAATGAAAAAGACTCTGCAAGTGTCAATGGGGAGAGTGACAAGCAGAGTGGTAGACTGAGCAGACATAGTCACCTTAGTGAACAAGAACGTAAAGATGAGCCTGGTGTCCGTCAGTTGAGACCTCGAAGAAAGAGGTATTTTGCATTGGCCTTTACTTACCATGAAGTGGTTTCATTGTATTTTATCTCTTCTGATTATGTTGTTATGTTTTTAGATCACACTCAGCGGACAGCAGTAGCGTAGAGAATCATGGCAACTACGGTAAACGACGAAGAAATGGGATGGTTACCAGAACCCTGAGCAAAACCAAACAAGAGAAGAAAGTTGTTGGTTTGCGGAACCTGGGAAATACTTGTTTTATGAATGCTGTGTTGCAGTCTCTGAGGTGTGATATTGTTCCATTAATTTTTCTTTTTTCTATTCTTTCTCTTCCTTTTTCATTTTAACTTTGCTCATTTTTTCTCAAAGTATTATGTTTAAATTGTTTCAAATTTTAATTATTTTTTTAAATGTTTTTAGCAACATTGGTGTTTTCTATCGATATTTTAAACACTTACCTGCCCTTGAGATTAATGCAAAGTCTGGCCGTGGAATTGAACAATCTCGGAAGCTCACAGAGGTGTCAGATGCCTTGATGGCAGAAGAACTCCGTAAAATTCTGATCAACCTCAATCAAGGTGGAAAGAGTGCAATTTCACCAGAATCCTTGTTTCATGTTATTTGGAAAATAGTCCCTCGTTTCAGGTATTTTTATCATCTTTCCTGTCTCTTTATTTTTGAAGCTAGTTTCTAATTTTAATGCTTGTTACAGAGGTTATCAGCAACAGGATGCACATGAATTTCTCAGATACATGCTGGACCGTTTGCACCTAGAACTGTTGCATCTACTTCCTGATGGTTCTTTACGAGAAAACTCCTATCTTAACATTGGTCCAAAGAGTCGCACGTCAATTGTCACATCAGTCTTTGGTGGCACTCTACAGAGTGAAGTCAGTACGCTTGCTTTATCTTGCCTTTGGGTTCATTGTGAAAGTCATTCTTATAATACTATTGTTTCAGGTGAGGTGTCTGAACTGTAGTGTCGAATCCAAGAAGCATGACCCTTTCCTTGACTTATCTTTGGACATACCTGAAAAATTTCAGTATTTGAAAAAGTCGTCCAAGGATAATGCAGATGAGCCCACTACACCTTGTGATATTTCTGGTATACATTCCCAGTGATTATATTTTACCAATGTAATGATTGATAATTTTCTCCACACCCTAACAATTTTTTTCCACTTTTTTTCATTTTATTAGATTGTTTGACCAGTTTTGTTGAAGTGGAGGAATTGGCTGAAACAGAGCTGTACTACTGTAACAATTGCAAAAGCAAACAGCGTTCAACCAAACGATTTTGGATTCGAAGACTGCCTAATGTGAGTCTGGAGAAATCGGTCATTAGTCTAGCTTTCATTTATAGGAGTTTCTGATTGTTTTGTTTATTGGGTTTGTTTAGGTTTTATGTTTACATCTCAAAAGATTCCGTTGGAATAACTGTTTCCGGCAAAAGATTGATACAAGTATTATGTTTCCTGTAACTGCATTGGACATGTCTCAGTATGTTCTGAGCAGCCCTCATGAAACACGACGGTCTGGATCTGGCAGCACACTCTATGACCTTGCAGCTGTTATTGTACATCATGGATCGGGGTAAAATTTCTCTTATCATTCAAAATATGATTTCTATCGAGATTCTGCTGAAAATGTAGCACTATCTCAATTAGGTCCTTTTTAAATAACATTTTCTACTTTATTATTTCAGTACTGGTTCTGGCCATTACACTGCTTTTGCCATAAATGATGGTAAGTCATCTTTCATTTTTTATGTATCACAATTTATTTTGTCCATTGTTTATTCCTTTTCACTTTTATTCCATAGGAGGTCAATGGTTTCACTTCAATGATAGTAGTGTCCGTCAAACTGAAATTGAAACAGTTGCCAAGTGTAAGCCCTACATCATGTTCTATATACGAAGAGAGTTTAGGCTTCCTCAGCTGCAAGCTTGAATGGCTTGCTTTTGATAAGTTTTGCAGTGCCTAGTCAGCCCAATCCCAACACGTTCACACACTGCTCAAGTTTGATTGATTTTTCCTTAATTTTAAGTCTTCTGTACAATGAATTTTTCCCTCTCTCTTTTTGTAGACTATGAACTTAATCATTAACTTTTTATGTTTTTTTGTTGTTTTTTTAAACTTTAATCTCTCATTTTGCTTGAGCAGTGGTACTTTGTACATGACTGAGAACGTGAGGAGAAGGGGAGGGCAGGAATGGTATGTGAGCACAAAAATATTTATCAGTTTCAGCTGGTATTATATCTAATGTGAGTACATATTGTCTTCTATGTATGTAAGCATTCACTATACTAAAATGAGTGATTATTATGTAGAGTTTACCTTTTACTCTTCTATAAATGTTTGTAATTTATGAAGTTTAAATTTTTATGTTCTGAAATTGTACAATTTATTACCAAAATTTGTGAGATTTTTTAAATGAATGTCAGTATTTTAAACTGAGGTATAGATTAATTGTATCTAAGAAAGTAAGCTCTCTCATGGACTCTCTAATGGATTCCAAAATCTTTACTTTTGAAGTATTGCATGGTTAATTAGGCAGTCAAATGGTAAATGAATTATGATAGAGGTACCCAATGACCCAATGTGTCTAACAGTTCTCTTATTAGTTGCCTGAACTGTGCTAGAGTTTGTCCTGAGCCAGCTAGGTAGGTAGGTGATGGTTTTCTGTCCCCTAGAATTTAAGGTCACTAATGGTGGCAACTGTGATCAAGTGGTGCAGGCAAGCTTTTCCATTTCTAATGTGTGAATGTATCAAGAAGTCTGGCTCACTCTTAATAACATTATATTAAAACATTAATCATTGTACATGTTCAAGTATTTTATGTTAAATCTTTCACTGCCATGGAATGGTTGGTTTTCCATGTAGATACATTGCCAATAAGAGAAAAAGAAAAAAAAGTAAAAAAAAACTTTGCAATGACCTTTTAGATGGAATGGAATATCCTTGCCTTAGGAACATTATGCAAGTCCATGGATGTTAAATTTAATATGGACGGTGAAGAAAGAAGCAATTGCTTTATTCACATGAAAGCTTCACAGCATTGCTCACTCATTTCTAACTGTGATTTGAACTTTATTGAACGGAAAGTATTGTATCTACCTATTTCAATGCAATACTTAACAAGTGTATGCATTCTGGTTTAAGATACTATTAACTGCAATTCAGATAAATATTTTGATCCTTTCTTTTTTCCTCTCTAAGAGCAGAGTTTACATATGCAATCAGAAAAGTTTATATTTCTTACCCACAGTGAATTTGGTAGAGTGCTTGCATTATTATGCATTTTACATTTTAATTGCTTGATTTCTGAGGAATATGTTTTTCCTCTTTTATGAATGGATTTTATTTTTTTATTTTTTATGTTTTGACATTTTGGATCATTTTTCACCAATCATGTATAACCTAATCATACTGTTCATTGTTCCTGTGACTCTTCCCAAGATAGAATTTGGGATGTCACCCTGCATTTTTAGGAAATGCCAAGAAAAATTGGGTACAAATAAATCTTATTTGACTCATGTCTGTCAGAGATACCCATTTACTCTCAGGTCTGGTACTCCCACTAGTGCGGATTTCGTCTCTTGGTTTATTTGCTGAATGTTTTCAACTAACGTCATAGCTACAAACTTTTGAACTGCAAATGAAGGACTGATTTTTTTTTATTCCTTATTCTATTATACTTTAAAACTTACCGTAGTTTCCTGTATTATAATGGCCAAGTTTTTTTTTCCTCGAGAGAAGCACAGGTCTCAGCATGGCCCATTATTATTTACTTAATTTGAGGAAAGACTAGTTATGTGATAGAACATATTTTTTTTAGGACATGGTGTGTAGTATTTATTATGAATTCCCTGTCAACTTTACCTTCTTCTTTGTAAAAGAAAGTGAATAATGTGATTGCAATGCAATTAATTTGACTTGTATGTAACTTCTGTGTATATTGCATGGTGAATAAATCCTATGCATAAAGAACATTTAGTGTTTTGCCTTGCCCTACAGGCCTCCTCCGGAGCCTCTCAGTCTCAGGCGAAAAGTGTCTCTCGTGCTACCCACCATGCCGCACGCAGGCTGGTTGCCTATCCGCGTGGTCATTGGCGATAGGCAAGCTCGCGCGTCGCGCGGCTGACAATATTCTGATTTCAAAGGGCGAGTTTCCGTTTGGAGACTCTTGTGATTGCCGTACGCTGCTGCGCTCTAGCGTTCGTCCGTGGCGCCCGGTTGTGTTGTGGCCGGGCCGAGTACCCTTCTGCCAGATCGCAGCGCAGCCGCCTCGGCGCCAAGCCGGCTGGCTGGCTGGCCTGGCTGCTTGGGCCGTCGCTGCCGCCGCGCGAAGGGAAGGCGAGGATCACTCGACGGCCAGAGTCGTTCGTGTTTGGTCCAGCTGGTCGCTCTCGCTCTCTGCAATACTGCCACCATCGTCTCGGGAAATCTCCCGACATCCTGGGCAAGTGGCTGCGCGTGAATGTTGCCTAAAGGAAACACAACCTGAAGCACCCCGCGACCGGGCCACCGTCGTGCCCCCAGCCAGCGTACAACATATTTATCCAGGTCGACAAAACAGGCCGTGTGCGGGCCGCTGGGTCAGAATGCTGCACCGAACCGACTGTCCAGAACCAGTTTCCTAGCGATCGGAGCAGAAGCAAAGGATGCGGAGCTCTAGCTTGCGGTTCTTGTTGTGGCGTCGGCCGTGTCCCCTCCCCACCCCCGCGCTCTCCACCCGCACCTCCCGCACCGTGCCGCGGCGTGCACCGTTCCTTTTCCTGACGGCTTCCCAGATCCGTAGTCTGCCCCCCCCCCCCTGGGCCTGTTGACCAAAAGCAGCACACCTGAAAAGTTTCCGCCTGCAGCTTAGTGGCAAATAGACCAAGATTATAAGCCTACTGAGTTGTTCCCTACGCGACGCGGTTAAGTCGAATGTAACGGATCTCATTCTTCCTCTCGAAAAGATTTGGAAGTTAAGCATGGGTTTTCCCTGGACGTGGCCATTCTGCTTCATCATGCTCAGGATGCGTTTCAGTGCGGTCTTCAGCCACTTTAGTGGCCGCCAACAGAGCGCGCAGCGATGAACCCCTCCCGAGGCGATGCTCTCGGTAGCGCCTGTTACGCGCTGGGTAGGCCAGCCCGCCAAGCAGCCGTGTGAAGACGGCGGCCCGCCCAGCGCACCCTAGTTGCGGGAGGTGGGCTAGGGCTGGGCGGCGGCCGTTGCTCGCATGCGGAGACTCTCGTTGCAGCGGAACCTCCTATACGATAACTTGCGGCTTCTTTTGGTTTAGTTTCGTGTAAGAACTTTCGCTTGATCCAAGCCCAAGTACACTGCCTGTAAATAACATGTTGATCTTGAAGCTGCTTTGATGCGTTTGTAATTTCTTCAAAAATATAAACACCATTTTTCTTCAAACTTTTATTTTCGGCGTTTGAAGCGCTGTTTTAGTTCCTGTTTCAAGCCTGTCGCGTCGGCCGGGCTCGCAGCAGCGCCCGCTTTGCTCTGTAGCGCCGCGCCCGGCCCGCGCCCCCCGGCCCGGCACTGGGTCCGCCCGCCAAACCTATCAGGCGAGTCCTCTCAAGGCCGCACGTGGTCCAAACGTGGTCCCCCCACACCAGCAGTCTCCAGCTTACGGCCCGCCGAGTTAGTTGTGTAGGGATCCCAGTCAAAAAGAAGGCTGTAGAGACGGGGCCAGGAAATGACTTGGTCGCTGCCAGGAAGTAGAGTCTTGGCACTGCCGTCATTCTCTCTATTCTGGGTAATTAGAATGAGCAGATTGGAACAAAAGGATCCCCAGATAGCAGGGCCTGAAATTTGGCGCATTTTTGCCGCATTCGGGATTTCAACTTCGACGAGGGTTTTAACGAATGCCGTAATGTTCAACTGAACTGTTCTCACCCTCAAAATATTCGACAATTAATGAAACTAGGAAGGTGAAGGAGAAAATGCAGGGGTAAAGCCTCAACCAGGTGGCATTTCAATGTATTCAGAGACACACCTCTAGGATGAGCGACGGCTAGAGAAATTGAGATGGAAAAAACCCAATAATCTCTGGGCAGTAGTTTTTCTTTTCAGCTGACGTGCGCGGTGCACGGGTGAAACAGCGAATGAGAAACGCCTTTCTCAGGAGGCGACACTGTAGGGTAAAAAAAATGGGGAAACACGAGTACAGTTGCTGAGGGACTGCGGGGACTGCAACGTGACTACAATGCAGCCTTATGGACTTTGAACCAGTGCCACTGACAAGTGGGTAGGCATCAGCAGTCTCTTTCCTGCAGACCTCCTCTCCTAGTAATCTCTGTCGTTTCCACAGCAATTTTCCAGTCTCGAGTTATATCATCTTCCCTCCGACGCCGCTAGCATAGCGACGGCTGAAAACTGATTACGATTTTTTTTCTTTTTTTCTTCATCTAGCCGACACGAGGCCCGTGATTGTTATCTTGTCGACTCCGGCGTTGCACCAGACCAGCAGGCGGGGAGGAGGGGGGGGGATCCGTTACTTATCACTGCGGTAATAGTGATAAGGCGGGTGACCGAGCCTCCCCCCCCCCTCCCTCCTCATTCATGACCGACGTGATCAAAAAGGATACGGATAGCTGCGCCGAGAGGTGAGAGGAACTATGGAATTCAACAAAACGGATCTCTGGAGCTTCCCTTTGCTGCGACGATAACGTGCACTTCACTCAGACTTGGTCATAAAATCAGTTTTTTCAGTGTTTCTATATTTTCATTCCCTAGATCTTTTCGGTCTTTTCTGTCTTTTCTCTTCCCCGCGCGGCTATCCTCCTGTTCGGAAAGATGCTGCGGTACGGTGCGGTACCCACCATCCACCAGACCGGAAAGGCATCATTTTTAGGGAGAACCGGAACCATAGTAAAAAGGGGGGGGGGGGGGGGGGGGTGCGAGGAGCAGGCAAGCTGGAGGAGGAAAGCACGGGTGTCGACAGCATTATGGCGTGGCAATGGCACCTCCTCTTTCTCGATGTGATGGACCCATTGAGCTCCGCACGAGGGTGATGGACGACTTGTACCTGACTGAGGTACTGTAACGGTCCTCCGCAGGGTACACTCGGTACCTGCTCCACACACGTTCCCTGTGCCGGCCTATGCACGCGACGCCAAACGTATATCCTGCCCGCTGACACGTGACTGCCACGCCCGCCCCGCCGCGACACGCAACCGCACGTGTGTGTGTGTGTGTGTGTGACCTGATCACGCCATTTCAAAGACCCACTTTATTTCAGTTTTCATCTCGCTCTCCCTCTCTCTTTCACAAACTCACTCGCACTTAGACACGCGTGATATCCTCCCTCCCCACACACAGGCTGGACACGAAAGTGAAACATTTTATCCAGCTCACCATGGAGCCTGCTCTACAGCCCCAGGACGAGACTTTCAAGAGACGCTCTCTTTCCCTTCCTTCCTTCATCTCGCTCGCTCCTCCCATAGTCTTGCATCCCCTTTATCATTCACACTAAATACATCCATGATTCATTTCTGTAAACGCGTTTGCAGAGGAGGGGCAACAGCTGCGGCTCTGCAGGAGGTGGGAAGGATGCGGTCGGAGAGGCATGAGCCGCTCACAGCACCTCTCGGTGAACAAGGAGGTGCGTGGGAATATAGACGC